TCCGCGAGGATCCGCGGACGTTGCTGGGAGTGACGCAGGCGACCGCCACTCTCATAGAGAGCATAGACACTGTGCTAGGTGAGATGCATAACTAACGATGAGTTTCCATTGTCAAACCACTTGTATAACAACATTTTCATTGCTCATTCAGTTGTTTTTACAGTAAAATTCAAATATTAATTCTGATATTGCCTTAATTATCATTTGCGATTGATTTCTTTGTGTATTTTACTTGTTTTTATACGGAAATGATTATTCTTTATATTTTTTTTTTCTATTTTTCTGTAGCACATTTTTTTAAGATAATTTTATAAACTTTTTTTTTACTTTTACTTTTTATGAAGCAATGGAAATCCACGGTTCGGATTTTTCGCTTTATACTAGTAACAAAATCTTTTTTTATTTATTTTACGTTAAAATTGACGAAATATCTTTTACGAGTACTTCTCTATTGTTATACTTTCGTTTTATTTTATGTTTGTAATATATTTTTAGGTTATTTATTCCGTTGTGAGGGTAAGTACATGGACGACTTCACGCCCGCCCTCGTCCGCACTGTGACAGGACCTGACTCCTTCTCCTGGAGACAGTCGCAGTTCAATAAGGTAAGGTCAATACTAGCTGTCGCCGCGATACCGTCTTTCCAGGTTATGTTCAACATTTATGCCAAATTTTTATCGATATCCATGCAGCCGGTCTGCTGGTAACTTCTAACAATCCATTCATCAAAACATACGCATTTATAATACAAGTAACATTAGTATGATTTGCCCAACAATCTATTCTTAAAATATACCGAATCGGTGCTTACATAGAAAATATTAAATCTTTCGTTTTATCTGTTTATCGGTTTGTCTTTTTGTCAAAATATCTGTGACTTTTTATGCGTTAATTTCAAACAATTTTGATGTGATTTTCACTAGTTTTTGTGGTAAATAAAGAAATTATGTCAATTTTATATCTATCTCTTTTATTTATAAGTCGATAGAGAAGGAGACACTATCACTACGCTTGTTGTGTATGAACCCGGCGGTGGTGTTTGAAAGTCTGAAGGTATCTCGCTGCATCATCCTCGCGTCCGGCACCCTCACTCCTCTCATCAGCTTGCACTCAGAGCTGGGCACTGACTTCCCTCTGCAGGTCAGCCCCAACCACGTCATACCACCGGACAGGGTAAGCGAAATTGTACCTTATTGTTTTCACGTTAAGGTTCTATTTATGTTTAATATGTCGATTTTTAAGTTTAAAAACGATATGTATGTGTTTTTTTCAGCAATATTTGTTTATGTCAGTTACAGCTATGTAACGGATAACTTTTACCCTAATTCATCGGTTTGGTTTAAAAAAAAACTAGTAGTAAAAATAGCCTATGTTACTGTCTAGTGGCTAAAGAGTTTTTGAAATTGGTCCAGTTTTTGAGTTTATTCGTTACATGCAATAATATAAAAAAAATCTCTTTATAATATTAGTATACGGATGAATGCAATATCTGGGATAGCGATTCAGTTTTTTACTTTTTTCTAATTATAAGCGTTCGAAGTCTCAAAGTGTCTATTATCTAGTTATCAATCTAAATAAGTTCAAGATTATGCTAGGCTAGTACAATTGTGTAATCAGTATCACGGCCGCTTGATGCGTACTCCGTATTCATAATTATGTTTTTAATAAAGTGTTGTTAGCCGTCTTAGAGGAATACGCAGATGTTGTAAGAGTGTGGTGTGTGATGGTGTGATGGTGTGATGGTGTCATGTTGTAGGTGTGGATAGGGTCACTGTCGACATGTCCGGGCGGGGTGAGGTTGGAGTGCAGTGCGCGGGGCGCGGGGGAGGCGCGTGTGCAGGACGGTGTGGGCGCGGCGCTGCGCTCTGTGTGTCGCGTCACGCCGCACGGAGTACTCTGCTTCCTGCCCTCCTATACACTTATGAATAAACTTGTTAACCGGTCAGTACATACAGTTCAAACTCCACTAAACGTTGGCTTCTGAGACCAAAATCGCGATATAAAAATTACTTAAACTGGGATGTCGGTTTCCGAAACCCACGATAAGGCTCATAAATTCTGTAATATTTCTGCTATAATACACAAATTATGTTTCCTAAGGAAGGTACTGATGATGCCCGTTAAGTGATCACTTAAGGTTTGAGATTTTTCATAGTAACAACGAATATTAATAACATAGTTTAGAAATGTCATCATCACCAGCTCACCATACGACCCCACTGAAGTGTTCGGAGCCTAACATAACCTAAGCGTGACTTATTTTACAATAGGTTAATTTACTGGTGTTAAATTGTTCTTTTTTTTAAATACGTTCTTTAAAACACTTTCACAATGACTAATGTAACATTATCAGGTGGAAGGAGACAGGGCTGTGGGATGAGCTGAATGAACTGAAGCACGTGTTGATGGAGGCGAGGAACGCCAGGGACCACAGTGAGGTCATGGAGGTCAGTACACATTACTTATGAAAACATTACGAGAAATATCTTTCTGAAAGAAACAATTATATACTTCTGTATATTTTTGAGGCTGACTTTGGTTGTCCTTAAAACAATGAATTAGGAACTCAAAGAAAGAAAAAAATAGAGAGCAAGACAGAAATAAAGAAAAATATTTATTACCATTATAAGAAAACGCACATAAGACACGCTAATTTACAAAAGAGGACAAATATAATAAGAATCTTGTGTATAAAATTCTCGTTTTACAATGTTAGTAACCATGCTCCTCCGAAGCGGCTTCTCCGATTTTTATGAAATTTTATATGCGTTCAGTAGATCTGAGATTAGGCTACTATGTATTATTCAATCCCAAACAAACGGAGTCGCGGGCGACAGCTAGTTTGTATATGTTGTGGTCAGGAGTACTACAGCAGCGTGTGCGGGGTGCGAGGCGCCCTGCTGCTAGCCGTGTACCGCGGCAAGGTCTCCGAGGGCATGGACTTCCGCGACCACCAGGCGCGCGCCGTCGTCACTGTAAGTATATACAATATGTGTATTTATATGTTAACTTAACATTAAGGAAATTTATATAAAAGTACCCTAACATTAGTGTAATATCTAAAGAAAAAAAACAATTCTCATTACTTAAGATTCGTTATATACCAACGCGAAACAAAGTTTTTATAGCGACATCTTTCATTTGTCTTCGAAAATAAAAAAAAATAAAAAATATTTTCTGCTACTTGAATATAGATGGCGCTAAAAGCAAAAGCTTTTAGCGCCATCTGTATAATATAAAATTTTATTCTGGTATCACAATGATACTAGAATAAAATTATATATAAGTTAACAATTGTGACTAGAAATCACTAAAGTGATTAAAAAAAATTACACTACCTTTCACATAAACTAATGTTGGAATAATTGTGGTACAGGTGGGAGTTCCATACCCGAACACATACGATATGGCGGTGAAGGAAAAGATGAAGTACAACGACCGATACAGCGCACAGCGACATCTGTTGTCCAGCAGCGAATGGCTGCTCGTGCAGGCATACCGGTATTTTCCTATCATACATACACACTTCCAAATATACAGCTCTATCTATCTACAAGTACTAAGAATTTGTTTTTAAGTCCGTTCCTTATTACGCCATTTTTTTTAATTTTAATTCTACTAATTAAATCCTATCATTTTGACACCCATGTTGGGGGTAATATTACATCCGCCATTCATTTGTGGCGGCGGCCATTTTGGATTTACTAACTGAATAACTTAAATTCTGTGATTGTTTAGTTATTAATATGTTGTGTGAGGAGAATTAAAAATATTGTATTTTGTATGCAGGGCGTTGAACCAGGCGGTGGGTCGCTGCGTGCGTCACCGCGCAGACTGGGGCGGCGTGCTGCTGATAGACGCGCGCTTCTCCAGCCCGCACTACACGCAGCATCTCTCCAAGTGGGTGCGGAACTTTGTTAGTATTCTTTTATATTTTTTATAAGAAGCTGATTCAAGCAAAACTTAATTTATTTCACATGGGGTTACAATAAAATTCAATACCAATTTGCCTCCATATTGGGGGCACAGTCGCTTTGTTAAAACATTTTTTTTTTAGTTTAGAAACGTATTTAGTGTATAAATTTATAATTTTCAGTTGGGTAACAACCACCACACATTCGAGAGTCTAGAGAACAGTTCCAACAGCCTGGAATCCTTCATGCAGACAATGACCCTCAGGGACAGTGAGGATGTCTAAATATGCATTTCCATTGCCGAAACATCTGTACAAAAACATGCATTATCTTAATAAATGACAATGTTTTGTTTTTATTTGTACATCTGTTTCGTCAGGAAAGTAACGATAACATTAAGCTGTATTAAAATTGTGATCATTTTATTGTAAAGATAAATATTTCTCTAATAATTTTATTTCTGACTCTCTGCAAGTCATTTGATGGCTAAGTCTTATCGTTTGTTTCAGACCTAAATCTCTGTATGTAACATATCGTCATCCTTGTCATTATCTTTGACATAACAGAGATAACAATATGTTTTATACAGAGATTTTTGGTCTCCGAAACCAACTATTAGTGAGGAGATTTAGTTAGCTCCGAGTTTTTTTTTTGCTGTTTAAGGATTACATATTAAAATTAAGACTGTTTAAAAAACTTTATTAATATTCTTTAACATAATTAAAGCTACTTCCATTTGCGTTTGATGTATACTTGATATTTTCCTCGCTAATAATACTTTGCGTTCTTTTGCTGTGCAGATTAAAATGTAAATGTTTCAAGACATTATTGTGATGAATTTTTTTTTATAATTTGATATTAAAGAAAAAATAATTTAAATATCACAGTATTCTTTATGATTCCCGGCATCAAGAACACGCGACGTCCATGTCTTTATAATGCTTTTTTAGCTCTGAAACCAAAACATAAATATGATTTTCTTCATTAATAAACTTAGAAAAGACGAAAATCGCAATATCCAATACTAATCTAAAACAAATAAAACTTAATAAAAAAAAACTACGCTAAACAATTGCCATTATTACTAGCGCCATCTATTATTGACAATGTAAAAAACAATTCTATTGAAAAATCCATACAAAATGATTGTTTTTCAATGATGTTCAAAGATAGATGTGACATGTTTGCATACATGTGTTTGTGCAATATAAACAGACAGTTTAACATACTTGTTGTGCCTGTGCACAGTGCGCGCGTGTCGCTTGAGATGTGAGACCTGCTGGAAGGCGCTGCTGCATACTTCGCACACGTACGGCCGCTCTCCGCTGTGATATCTGAAATAAGCTTTTATTCAACATGACAATACAGTAATTTTTACAAATGATTTTTATGATAATTAACATTGTTGATGAATATTAGTTTTTTGTGAAAAAATATTAAAAAAAAAGAACGTATAACAGTATGGTAAGTTAAAAAAAAAAACAATAAAATCTATTTAAGAAGCTGAAAATCAATAAATATTTCCTTGTTTAAGAATGTGCATTATGATTTGCTGATAGTAAATACCCTAATCCTTTAGTACATATTCATTCCCATTATATTCATTATGGTCTCTTTTTTTTAATTAACCAAGGCAAAAATAAAATTAAATAGTATATCAACAGTGGAAACGGTTTCTCCATATACTAGTCGCAGACACAAAAGATTGGGTACAAATGTTAACCTTTTATGTACTTCAAGGTCAGTCTTCTTGTAGAACTTTCTACCGCACTGCTTGTCGTCACAAACGTACGGCGTCAGTCTCTCGTGGTCACGCTCTATGTGATTTTTTAGCTGCAAATATCAAATCTTATTTTGAATAAAAAAATCTCTATATGTTATGTTCCTGCAATGTTAGTGGCTCGAATGCTAGATTTTTTATAATAAATCAACTTAAGGATCTTCCCTGGTGACCATTGGAGGCTACCTGGAATCGTTGAAATAGCGAAGCGACCACTCCATATAGACACCAATAAATGCAGATGCGTTGCATTCTTTAAATTGACGGAGGAGGGAATGCCACAGAAAAAGAATATTTCCCCTTCTTATCCTTCTTCCTCTGTCAAATCCAAGGAAAAGAGAAGGATTTTTTTTTATATCATAAGGTGGCAAACGAGCGAGCGGCCACCTGAAATCGCTAATATAGCGAAGTGAACGTTGCCCATAGACATACGTAATTGCATATGCGTTGCCTACCTTTAATCGACGGAGGAGAGGATGCACAGAAAGAAAATATATCCTCTTTCCATGCATCCTCTCATCCAGAAAGTCCACTTCCACTTCTCATCCTTTCCTTATAAGAAAAAAAGGTGGGTAGGGAAAGAGGACTAAATTAGGCCTCCGGGATAAATTAATCCTCTGGCGTTATATGGAAAATTGCTTCCACTTAAGGCCTGACTTCTTTGTAGTCGTGGTATTACACAGAGTGAGTTGACCTATTCATACAACAGATGTGTACTAAGGATCCCTCTAATTGTCTCTGAGTGCGGAGGAATGTGTTACCATCCAGTGCGCGCGGTACGTGTTGTCGCAGTGCGGACAGTGGTGCGCGGCGAGGACGCGGGGCTCGTGCGCCGCAGACACGTGCTTATTGAGAGTGGACCTGTAGCTGAACCTCTCACCGCACACGGAGCACTTGTGTCTGCGCAGAGACGGGTTGTGTGTGCCTGACATAACACACAAATAATTAAATATTTGCGACTTCGTCAACGCGAAAAAAAAGCATAATAATCCATCAAACATCAACAATATTAGTATGAAGTATTCTACTGTTTGCATATTTGTATACAGGATGGATCCCGGACCCCATAATTGGAAATCAAAGTAGAACAAACAAACAAATACTAATAAAGACTATAATTATATTTTAAATACTCACCAATATGAGATTTGTAATTATCTTTCTTATTGAAAGTTTTCTTGCAAATTTTACAAACAAAAGTAACTTTCTTCTTTTCTTTTTCTTTTATATCTTCAACTTTTTCGTCTAATTTGATTGATTCTATTGGTTTTACTTCTTTTTCTAATACTGACTCCATTTTATCTTGTACATTATCTTTAGGAACTGGTATCATCGGTGGTTCATCTATTTTATTCTGTTCAGTTTTTTCAACATCAATATTTAACATATCAGTTAACTGAGCTGCATCTATTTCACTATTCAAACTTATTATAAACGTATCATGATCCTCCGATGATATATATTGTACACTATTCTCTCCTATAAGTTGTTTCAAATTTGCTGCTAAATTTGTACTAGTTTCTAAATCTACATCACTTTCAAATATCTTTTCACATTCATTAACTGTTTCCGGTGCTTTTATTTCTGCTCTATCAAAATTCATATCCGGAACATTTAAAAATTCATCGGGTAAATCATTTTTCACTTGACATAAAGCTGATATTATATCATTATCCATACTTTTACCACATTCAGTGAAATCAAATAGTATCTCTCCATTTTTATCATTCGTATTATAATCTATATCAATATTAGTATTAAATACTTGGTTATTGTGAAATGTTTCTAAATCTATATCATTGTAAAGTAGTTCATCATCTAATGTATGTAATTGATTTATTTCTTTAAGGAACTCAACTTGCATCAAATAGTCATCATTGGAAGGATCTGTTATATATTGACTATTAAAAGCTAAGTTAGATTGGTGCGGTATAGTCATGTAGTCATCTTCCGCAGACAGAATATCATCAACAATATTATCAACTGTTCTGTTTGCATCTGCGTTTGTATCAATTACTTTCTCATCATTTTCAGGTTCTTTACTTTGGTTTGTATGTTGTCTGGAATAAATACATAAGTTTTAAGAATCAAAATAATGTTACATTCTAATCTTACTTATATTATAAATGCGAAAGTTTGGATGGGTTGAGAGATGTTTGTTAGAAGGTATCTCTGGAAGGATTAATGGATCTTGTAGAAATTTGGCACAGATGTAGAACATAGTCTGAAAGATGTGTATATGCTACTCATCAAGATTTATTTAATTCCGCGCGGACAGTCTCGGGCGACAGCTACTTAAATAAATAAAGATATCTTGATGTAAAAAAAACTTACCTAACGCAATGTTCAAGTAACGCACTTTTATATTGGAATGTCATACCACAGACTCTGCAATGGTTTTTCCTAACAGACTTGTCAACAATCTCATTTTGATTTCTATTATTCAATGCACAGTAACGTTTATGCCTTGTCATTGATGCTAACTGAAATATATCATTAAAATTTTCAGAACTACCTACATTTTTCATAATAATTATCAAAACAAACATCAACAGATTGTGAAGTATTTATATATACTTATATATATTTTTATTGGCATATTAGAAATAGACAATGCTGTTAAATCTGGAAAAAATTTTAGCATATAGAGGTTTCTGTCTAGTCCGAGTTTCTCGCTAATGGTGGCTGTCCTCCGGGACTAAATAATGACTAGAGAATTCTCATTTATCAAGGTTTGATTTTACTCCTGAATCACCTGTGCAAAATTATGCATTTATCTCTGTTTCCCACAATTGACAGAATATACATCTGTTCCAGTGTTAAGTGAGACAAGCTCGAATATAAAATATTCATATTGTTACCTGTTTGAATCTGTTGCCACAACCAGAACAACAGAATGGTTTCTCATTTGTGTGTGTTAGCATGTGGCGCTTAAGATTAGATTTATCCCTGAACTGCATACTGCAACTTGTACATGGAAAATTACGAACACCTAGAATTTAATAAAGTTTAAAAATGTGCACAAAAATTTTAAGCCATGTTTGAATTTTATGAAAGTGAAGTATGAAATAACCAGATATAATCAAAATTCATATTTACCTTTATGTACATCCATATGTTTTTTCAGATCTGATGGTTTGTAGAATGCTTTATCACATTGCTCACATTTATAAGGTCTGAAAAAATTAAAAAAACAGATATTAAAAACAACCCTTACCCTGAGGGTAGGCTCCGAGCTGCTCAGTGGGGTTGTATAGTGAGCTGATGATGATACTAAAATAATAACATAAGTACAGTCATAAAATTAAACTTAACCTTTTTTTTTATTTTAAAACTATCAGTATATTCAGTATTTCAGTACATTATTAGAGTTTTTTTATTGTGTTGTCCATAGTTTAGATAAATACTATTATCTATTGACTTAACTTTATGACGGAGGATAGCTAAGAATATCACATAAATAGTGAGATAAAGAAGCTTAGTTAGACTTAATGTGTATTACCTGTAATCTAGATGTTTTGCAAAAAGATGTTGCTGTAGCCTCCAAAGTGCTTCAAAGGCCATGGTACACTGCGGGCATTTCCAAACCCATCCCAGAGGCTTGTGTGTGAGACCATGTTTCATTAGTTGTTGTTTTGTGGAAAACTTTTCATCTGGACATTTGTCTGAAAATCATTTTTAAGTATTGAATAGCTTATGAGTGTGTAAAGCAATGGTTTATTTATTACAGTAAGCTTTATTATTGCAATAAACATATTCAAAATTACCACAAATCCACAGGTTATCTTTAGAGTGAACTCGTAAATGTCCATAGTATTTCTTGGCATTGTCAAACTTTTTGCTACATATTTCACAATGTAAAGTTGTAGGGCCGTTCAAGTCTGGTTCCTCTAGAGGTCCATCTGCTGTTAGGAACTCTGCTAACACATCATCATTAGCTAAAAGACTTCCATGAGAAGGCAGTGTACTTTGGAGGTCATCGTAACTATCTAGCGGTTTAATTTTATTGAATTCCAAATCTGATGTCTCTGCATCTACAAACTAAAATAAAAACAAGACTGTCTGTTATTAAGAATAAGAATCACAAAAACAATAAAGTTTACTATTTAGAACGGTCTTACGGGAAATTTAAAGAATGAAAGATTTGCATCCATCTTGAATTATATTTTATCGTACACGTAACAAAAGACACGTAAATTACTTAATTCATTGAGTAATATTTACAACAAACATTTTAACATAAAATCCACCAATAATTAGTACAAATACAAAAATATGTGTTATTGTTGTGACTTCTTGTGACACTTCCTAAAAAATGAAAATGTGCAATAGACAATTTTTCGCTACAAAATTCTATTCTCTTTGAAAATAATGTAATGTGACCAGTATTATAGAATTATAGACATAAAAAGTTATGTAACCCAGTGGGCATAAGTCTTATGATAGCTCACTAGGACTCCCCGTTAATGTGAAAAAAGTGGCACAAGATCCTTGTCATCGTCGTATTGTTTAGAACGATAGGGTTATCTGATCCGATTGGTGGGCTTTAGGTAAACCTTATATGATCACTCACAAGCGCCCTCCTTGTTTTTCTTTTCTATGACCATTTTCAACATTCATGTAGGTTAGACTGGAGGACCTACTGGGAAAGTCTTCTGTTTACTTGTAATTTTTTTCATATATTTTCACAGGACTAACCTCGATAGCAGACCTCTCTCAAACTGGCGAAGTCACGAGCATAGCTTGTTCAAAAGTCTTATTCTTCTTTTCTGTTCTGTTGTGTAAATTTTTTTATAAGAGAGCAAACGAGCGGCGCGAACACCGAGGTGATCAATGACACCCATGGACATCTGCAACATCAGAGAAACTGCAGATGCGTTGCCGGCCTTTACGTAAATGGTATGCTCCCTTCTTGAAGGTCCCTAAGTCGTAGTAGTTTGGAAATACCGAAAATAAAGTAATGTCCAAGTACTGTCCAGTACCGCGAGCGGTTCAAAGACAGTATTTCACACGGAGGATGTCGCGGGCACAACTAGTTAAATAAAACTTTACCTTGCATCCATTTAATTCAATATCAAAGTCGTTCGCATATTTTATATACGGGTTATTGTAAATTCACAATAATTATTCTAAGTCAAGATAATAATTTTGTTACAAAGTATGAACTTCTATTTATTTATGTATATTGTACTTGTTGAACAATAAAGTTAATCATCCAGCTCGAAGGAGGAAATATTTTTTCCTTAAACTCCCAGAGAATTTGATTCCGAATTTGAGAATTGCCGGTAATTGATTCAGCTGCACAGTTGTAACTGAATCAATTTTTCTTAATAAAAATACTAAGACGCCAAGACAAGCTTTCATGAAAAGAGAACGAGCCTTAAAAGTTAAATGCCTTACGTATATTTAATGAGAATATGAAGGCAAACGAACAACAGTTCACCTAAAGCATAATTAATTATAAAATAATAATAAGACCATATAGTGACGTCAGAATTCTACGAATCAAAAATATTCTTCAGCTTGAAAATATTGCGGTACGAAAGTCGGTCAACAGTCAAGTGTTCTGATAAAAATTAATTACCACGATATTTACTGATTATACTCAGCATGAATGGTGCAGTTTACAACTGACAAAACTACTAAAACATATGCTTTCGCTATAGTTCTACCGTTAGAATAACTTCAAATAAAAAAGAAAAATACATAAACAATTTTTTTTTATATATTTTATTTTGACTCTATATCTACTCATAGAAATTTTTAACTACGTTCTATTTAATTTTATTCTCCTTCGAATTAAATACAAGTAAAGCTCAAATAATTCTAACAGTATTTTTAAGAAGGTGACCACTGTCCATATATTGCAAAAGTGAACTCGGGAGAGTACAAACTAAAATAGGATGTTTTCTTTTTCTATTCCACATCTATTCCGTCGAGCCTTCAGTTTTTTATTATATTTTATTCATTTATTTACTATATTATATTATAATAAATGTAAAAGTACTAAATGTGACTTATCTCACTTTACTTTAGTCCCCCTTGTCATTTACAATTAACATATAACAAGACTCGCAAAGTTTTTCACGCTGCGTTCCCAGCAGCGGACTTGTCGTTATCACATTTAGGTATGCCCTTTCTAAAAGCGTTTATAGAATCTATTGGGATAAAATAAACGTAATAAGTAGTCAGTAATGACTATCTAACATCTTTCATTATTGTTAACATAGTAAACTTCTCTATTTGGTAATTCTTGATAACCCTCAAATAGGGTTGTGAAACGCCAGGCGGCCAACTGTCAAAATGAAGCCAAAACAATAAGTTTCAAAAAACCTTGTGCGCCGACCCTATGTGAGTATAAGGCCAGGGAGACGAACGCCTTCAAATAAAATTATGCTTTGATAATTAACCTAGAAACACAGTTCCCTGCATATTTGAAATTATATCAAATACTTAATATCCATCACTTAAATTAACAATAACAGAAAGTAAGGAACAAAAAAGACTCGTGCGAATTAATTCCAATTGAAATAAATTGATGACTATTCAAAAAAACAGTAACTGACCACAATATCACTTAAATGTATTCAAATGAACTTTCTTCGAACGTGCTTTCATGAATCATGCATTGGTAAAAGTGTTGGAACATGTGATTTACAATCGACATATTATACAAATAGTCTTAGATGCTTTAATCATATAGAAAGGTTTAAAAAGAAATCAGAAACGTTCAGTAATCTTACTTCTTACTAATATTATAAATGCGAAATTTGGCATAGATATAGAACAGTCTACAAGAACACATAGCCTGCCAATTAAGTTTTTTTAATAATAATTATGCGCTGACGGAGTCGCGGGCGACATCGAGTAACATATAAAAGAAGTAAAGTGAAAATATTTAAGGAAAAAGTTATATGCGTTAGTTAATAAATTGGTATTTTATTATTTGATTGTTCAATAGTATTACTTCAAAGAAAAAAGTCAATAATGGTGACTATGTAAAATTCAATCAATGGTTACAAATTTTTTTATCGTTTACTTATTTAACCTTATTACAAAAGTCATTAAGGTCGATGTTTGTAATGATACAGGCATGTCGGTCACAAAATCCGCTTATTCCGCTCCGCCATCACACAAGCCATACCCTAACACAAGGATTAAACGCATTATATAAAATGAAACAACCATCATCAGGTTTCATTTAGACGAAACATTTTCTTAATGATTGTCGGCGATTGTTAACATGGGCTTTCATTTATTTTTATTATTATTTTTTAGCATAATTAATTGTCCTTATTGTATTATGTGGAGTGACAAAGAACTCGAAGAATTATTGCGGAAGATTCCAAACATCACGGACGTCGAGAAAGAAATCGCTCCCGCCGACTTCACTAATTTACGTTTCACTTTGATATTTCCAGGTTAGTAGATATCGTAGTATAACGGTTCACAAGCTCACAACACGTCCATTGAACGCAGAAGGCAGATGTAGTATTGGATTTATATCACTAGGTCACAACACAATTACTTTCACCTGATGTCATCAAACCTGTAGCAACATTGTGATCACCATAAGAATTGTAAAAAGTAAAGTTTACAGACGTAGAGAACAACGAGCGCCGGAACGCGATATAGTACAACCAGAATGTTAGTCCGAGTGTGCGTTCTGGAGGCTTAATTTTAGCCAACTTTCCCTTACCACCATCTTCTTATGAGAAAAGAGTGTGGAGGTGAATTTGATGGAGAAGGGAACACATAGAAAGGGAAAATATTCTTTTTATAAGCGTCTCTTCCTCATTAGATTAAGGGTAGGCAGCGCATCTGCAATTAGGGATGTCGATCGGTCGTTTTGCAATTTCGGCGACTTTAGGTGGTCACTTGCTCGTTTGCCAACTTACAAAATTACGACTCATTACGGTGTCCATTTAGCTACAACTCCTAGAGAAATATTACAAATGGCGTACTATCTGACATTAAAGGGGTCGATGACGTAAACGCAACAATGCAATGTTGTTTTCTAACATTGTTACTATAAGCTATAGTAGTTATAATCTCTGAGCTATAAGTAAAATAAAAAAAATACCAATTGAATACCATTGTAGGCTTAATATTCTGTTCTATAACATTCATAACAAAGTTTTAGTAAAAAGGGCCAAATTAAAAAAGTGTGTGTATATATACATAATACATGGATGGATGATTATTAGAACGTATCTCCAGAACGGCTGCATGGATCTGGATGAAATTTGGTACAATTGTAGAACATTATCAGGAAGGACAACTTATCGCACTTAGGATAGTTAATTGTTAACTAAGGGAGATACTTACTGTAGATTTTTCATATTAAATTAACATTATAGACGACATCCTAAAACCCTAAGTACGGCACTTACTTTATCATGTGGCACAAAAAATTCTAGCTTGATATTACCACTACCCTTAAATACAGTAATTAGTACATATTACTTACCGATTAAAAAAGTACCGGCCATTATGTGTTTCGTGTACGAAAATGTAAATAAGGCTTTACAGGTCATTTAACACTCACGCACAACACGTAACCACAATACAACCTGCTTGAAACAACTATTAATTTAAAAAAGAAATAAAAAAACAAAATTATGCATTGAACTAAAATGTTTTAACCCTTCAGTGTTTTCCCTAAATTGTATTTAAAGGTATTCTTCAAACAATTTCGTTTCATCGTTATGAATATTTTTATGTGTAAAATTTTAGAAAATAAATAAGATTACCTACTTTTTATTAAAAAGTGGTCATTATATGTTTTATAGTAAAATAGCACATATATACTTCTTATTAAGGTACAAAATGGTGTGGATCTGGTAACATAGCAGACGGCTACGATGATCTGGGCAAAGACAACGAAACAGACGCGTGTTGCCGACAGCACGACTTCTGCCCCGACATCATACCCGCAGGAGAGACAAAGTACAATCTCACCAACGAATCTTTCTTTACACGGTAAGTAACTGTTATTGTAATTGTTTTAGGATTTTTTTTAATTAATCTATCAATTATAAATGCGAAATGAATATCTTTTTACAAAGACTATTATTTATTTACTGTATCTTAAAGAAACCCTTTATTGATGTTTTAACAAAAGCGCACGGCAAATATTGTCAAATAATTATTGAAGATGCTTGCTAAAATAATTTTGCAGGCGCTTTGTCATGGACCAAGCTAATGCTAATTAATGCAACGAAACAAACGTTTGATTATTAATAGGGTAAAACTATAGAGATTTTCAACTAAACCTCTTTTCAGATTA